ATTTGTGGCTATTCTGAGTCTATGGTTGATTTTTCCCGAATTCAGCAGCAGGTTCTAATGACCCGTATGGTCGCTGCCAAAAAGGTCATTCTTCTTAACTGGAAATCATCCTCAGCCCCTTGTTTTAAAAGATGGCTGTCTGAGATGACACATTGTCCAGATGGAGAGAATGAGATGCTGTGATAAAAAAGCTCAGAGACATTTTCATTTGATGTGAAATAAGTTCTTGGACAAGTTAAAGGGACCTTAGTTATGTTCTTCGTTCATCCTCTCCCTCCTTTTTTTTTTTTCTTTTTGGTCTGGACGTTGGATTGGGGTGGGATATGGGAGTGTATTCAAAATGTTTCTGTTTATGTCATAAATGTAAAATTATAAATAAAATTAAAATTGCAGACGATACCACAGTGGTTGGCCACATCAGCGACAATGATGAATCTGCCTGCAGGGAGGAGATCCAGCACCTGGCTGCCTGGTGTACTGATAACAACCTCTCCCTCAACACAGACAAAACCAAGGAGGTCATTGTGGACTACCAAAAAAACAAGCTGCACACACTCTCCTGTCTGAATCAACGGTTCTGAGGTAGAGCATGTCTCCAGCTTCAAGCTCCTGGGAGTACCCATCTCCGAAGACCTTTCATGGACATTCAACACCTCACACCTGGTTAAGAAGGCACAGCAGCACCTTTACTTCCTGAGGAGACTAAAGAAGGAACATCTGTCTCCGCAGATTCTCACAAACTTCTACTGCCGCACCATTGAAAGCGTACTGACCAACCGTGTGACAGTGTGGTACAGCAGCTCCACTGAGGCCGACAGGAAGGCACTCCAAAAAGTGGTAAGACCGCTGAGCATATCACTTGCACATGGCTCCCTGCCCTCAGAGACATTCACCATCAGCGCTGTGTGCGCAGAGAGCGCACCATCATCAAGGACTCCCACCCCAGCTACACACTGTTTAACCTCCTCCCATCCAGATACAGAAGCATTTGGACCAGAACCAGTCCGCTCAGGTCCAGCTTCTTTCCCTCCACCATCACCTTGCTGAACTCCTCACCACTCCACTAATACTCCTACTTGGACATTGCACACAATTGTTATTTATTAATTATTATCCCTTGCATTTCCATAGAACAGATTGTTTACTGTATATAGAATACAACACATAACTGCTTACTGTAACAGTATGTAACATACTTTACATATTGTGTTTATAGTTTTATGTGTATATATACATGTATATATCATTCATAGATATATTTATAATTGTGTATATATTATTCATATAGTTACATATTTCATAGACACATCATATTTATGCCTGCTAATGCACATTTGCACTGTCCGTTATGCACTGTTGCTACTATTTGCACTTCTGATAGACACTGACTGCATTTTGTTGCCTTGTACTTGTACTGAACAATGACAATTAAGTTGAATCTATCTATCTATCTATCTATCTATCTATCTATCTATGAAAAATGGAGATACGAGGCTTTGTTCCAAAAGCAGCGATATATAATATCTTACTGGTAGAATTTTGTGCTACATATTTAATGGGAAAAAGTTTGGACCTTTCCCTTCAAATACATTATCACAAGTAAAATAAGAGAAATTTATTCCTATTACTAATATTAATTTATTACATTTATTATTGCACAGAGTTTATCTTGCGAAGATTTTAAAAAGATGTTGATGTTAGTTGTTTATTTTGTGATGCTGGTGTAGAAACTGTGTCATTATTCCGGAATTGTCCTCACACTGCTACCTTTAGAAATCTTTTTTACTTTTATTTGTAATGATTTCTTTTCATTTTGCAAATATTTAATATTAAATATATAATAATAAAAAGAACATTACATTTTCTGATCAACCTTCTTACTTCAACTTCTCAACCCTTGTGTGGTGTTGATATGTTGTTATTCAGTGGTCTGGTGGTCCCACCGCATTATTGTTTTTTAAATCAATACAGCCGTAAAAAATTATGTAAAAAAAAATTCCAGATGTTTAAAATCTCACAAGTGTCCAGCGTAGGGTTCTCCTTTAGCAGCTGTAGCCAGTCAGCAGCCTCTCCATGTTGTCCACCCTCACACACACACACACACACACACACACACACACACACATATATACAAACACATACACACACACTAACAGCAGGCCATGTAGGAGGAGAATAGAGTGAAGGACACAGCACCTCCTAACTTTAACTTCCCCCAACACCACATGTGTAATATAAATGTGTGGGGTTTTTTCAGTGTGAAGTCACTGAAAATGTGTTATTTTATATGATCTTCACAGAAAATGAACAAAGGCCAAAGAATCTGAGGTTGAAATAGTAGTAATCACTTGATTTTTTCTTTTGTTAAACACTGAAAATGAGTCCCACAGATCTGAACACATTCACAAAAGTAAATTTAACAACAAGTGATCTGTTTTCTTTATTTCTGAACATGAAACTGACAGTGTGTACATTGCATTTCTGCTTCACCAGCATTAAAGCACTAAAGATTCTTCAACTGATTTCTGTTTTTACTTGGTGGTGAATTATTTTGACCCCTAGTCGTATTTTTTGTTGTTCTACACTTTATGTGCACTGCATTATATATGTATGTAATATACATGCATTGTGTGTTGTTGAAAAGTGAGTAGATCCCTTAGATCCATGGATTCAGGCCAGCTAGTCGAGCCCAGAGACCAAACTAAACACAGTGAAGCAGCATTTTGCTGTTATGCTGCAAACAACTGGAACAACCTGCCAAAAGATCTTAGATGCCTCAAATGGAGCGATTTTTAAATGAAGGTTAAAATGTTTCTCTTTTTGTGCTTTTAGTTCATTTTGTTCTTATTGCACTTCATTTTTAGCATCACGCCTTTAATAAGCTAATTTTTAATCATATTTCAATAGCATGTTTTTTTATTCACACAGTCTTTGTATTTTTCAGAAAAATATATTTTCAGAAAAAAGGTACTAAACGGTCACTGGAGCAGTCCCCCTCTTGTCACTGGGGTGGTCCCCTCAAGGGTACATCTCAGTACCTTTAGTCAGGGAACATAACTGAACCATAATCCATTGAAATGATACTTTCTAGGTTGTTTTGACTCCACACACCCCGTCTCGTCTCCAGGCTTTTTATTTTATTGTTCTGTTTTAAAACATTCGGTTATGAAAAGATACGAATACGTACTTTTCACCTAGAAAAACGTATTTAAAGTTCACAACTGGACCTTAAAACCACTGTTGTACCTTTGAGGGAATATTTACACTGTTTGTACCTTGAAAGAAGAGTGTACCTGCAACTGATGAAAGCAAAAAGTACCTGCACAAAACCTTTATTTCTAACAGTGTAATTCATGTTTTATGTATATATTTATTTGCTTTTGTCTATTTCTTTTTAGCAGTTTATAATTCTGTTCCATTTCCTCTTTTACCTTTTATTTTCATTGTTTTTTCACTCTTATGCACTTTATCCTCCTTTTCACTTTGATTTTGTTCTCTTTTGTTTATATAAGGTACATTGAATTACCTTTGTACGGTTTAAATAAACCTGCATTGTCTTGCCTAAACAGCCAATCCTAAGGCAGGAGTCCGAACACAACTAGCCAATCACAGAACAGGAAGCGGAATACATCCTGCTGCTCCTTCTGCTTTAATTACTGGCGCTTTACCGCCACCTGCTGCTAGAAACTGACCCTCACACCTCAGTATGTTCAGGGTTACAGAATGAGAGTTTGAATTAAAAAGTTGACAATATATTAAGATATGTGAACTGAAGAAATGTATCCAACATAGACCAACTACTTTCATTTAAAAATAATGTTAAATGTTTTTGCTTCGTCTTACATGTTTGTTTGTTTTTATAACACAGTTACATGCATAGTGGGTAGTTTATGCTGGAAAGCCCTCCAATTTGGCTAAATTAGAACTATTCTGACAAGAAGAGTGGGCAAGAATTCCTCCACACTGATGTGAAACACTGATCTAGAGCTACAGGAAGCGTTTAGTTGCAGCTGTTGCTCTAAACGTTGGCACAATGGGTTCACACGGGTGAAAGAGGTGTTACAAAACTTTTTTATTCTTTTATATTCCATTTACATTACATTTTATATGAGAATGTGAAACCATTTAGTGTGACAAATATGCAAAACAAGAGAAATCAGGAGGGGTAAATACTTTTTCACACCACTGTGTAATAATATAATGGAATTATTATAATTATTATATTTATTATGATCAATATAAGTAGTATGAGATCAATAATACCAATGATAATTTAAACTAAGCTCCAGCATTCAAAGCAACATCATGGGAGCATTACATGCATATGTTATTATGGGTATATAACACTATAGTTACTGCAACAAAAGGACTTTGCTTTGTTGTTCATTGTTTTATAGTTTACTGTCTGGATTTACTGACTCTTGCACTGGTTTCCCTGAAACATCCTGTCTGTTGTTTCACATTTATTTCTTTTCTCACTGAGAAACTGACTGTGATGAGAAGAATTAAAGACACAAACATACTTGATCAACATTGATTTATAATATTCTTTGTACAGAAATCTTGAATTCAGCATATTTCATCACATATTTTGAGAATTTAAAACAAACAATTCATTATAAATCTTACCCATAACAAAAAGCTTTGCATTGTTGTTTACCAGTAAATTACTTATATGAATGATTGTAGAACTACCAAACACAATGTTACAGTATCACAGTATTACAATGTTTTCACATTTATAAACCGTAAAATTTCAATAATAACAATAAAATGACAATATTATACATCAAAAATTAAAAAAAGAAAGTATTACAATACAATTTACCATAAAAGCCTTAAAAAAGATGTAGTGTCAGGGGATGTGATATTAAAATATATACAAATTCTTTTTTCTTAATTGGGTATTTAAATATGAAATGTATGTTTTGGAAAAAATATATAAACTACATGTATAAAAATACATACAATCTAAAATATTTAATAAATTGTTAAAATGTATTGTATAAAATATGCTTGAGTGCCCATCAGTATACTTGGGGAGCCTCCCAAGAACACGTATATGTGAGAAACATATTCCATAATTCCATTAATTCACCAATTAAAAAAAATACATTTATTTTTTCAGCATGAACAGAAAAAAAAATACAAAGTTAATAACAGAAAATAGACTATGAGTAAACATGGACGTTGTTTTTTGAGTAATTCTAATTAAGCCCTACAAGTGAATGGTATGAATTTGTACATCTACACTCATCATCCACTACTAGAAACCTGAGTCACAATTGTGACGCTTCAGACACGACAACATAATTCACAAAAAGATTAATTATAGATTAATTATAATGTTAGATGTGTCTGTTTTGACTTTGTAATTGATACAATTGGCCTGTCTTGATGTTGGAATAGACTCAATACAAACCTGTCTTGACTTGGGAATAGACTCGGGACTTGCCTATCTTGATTTTGGAAATGCCTCAGTACTTGCCTGTCTTGAATTGGGAATTGACTTGAGACTTGACTTGGGACTTGATTGTCTTAACTTGGGAATTGACTCGGGACTTGTCTGTCTTTAGTTTGGAATTGCCTCAGGACATGCTTGTCTTGATTTTAGAATTGACTCGGGACATGCCTGTCTTCAATTGGGAAATGTCTTGAGACTTGACTTGGGACTTAATTGTCTTGACCTGAGAATTGACTCGGGACTTGTCTGTTTTGATTTTGGAATTACCTCGGGACTTGTCTGTCTTGATTTTTGAATTGACTCAGGGCTTGCCTTTCATGAGTTGAGCATTGACTCAGGACATGCCTGTGTTGAATTGGGAATTGACTTGAGAATTAACTGTCTTGTCAGTAGACACTAATGAAGCATGATTACTCACTAAAGACCTGCCTGTCGACTTGGAAGTTGACTAGGGACTCGACTGTAGAGTTGAGAATTGAGTAAGGACTTGCCTATCTTGACTTGGGCATTGACTTTGTCCCACCAATAGACAGGGGACTCTGATAAAGTAGATAAGGAGTGTAGATGAATAATAACAATGTGGGCACTTCCATATATAATCACCTAAAGATAACTAAGCAGATACAGTTATTTTGAATGATACAATGTATTGTACACAAGTTGGATTTTGACCCAACTCTTGTCTCCTTGTTTTTGCATCTAAACTCATTCTGGAATCATAATTTTGGCAGATTTTCCTTACTCCTCTTCTGATTCATATTTCAAGGCATTCACATTATCTTTGTTGTCTTCTAGCTCCTTTTTGCAACTGTCCACCAACTTCTTTGCATCTGCGAACATTGTTCCTCGCATTGTAGGATCTTCGCACCTATGGAGATTCTTCTCATGAAGTTCACAGACATCAAGAGCTTCTATAAGCCTTTTTCTAGGGACTTTCAGGGCCTTATGAGAAGGCAAATGAAAAGCCAGACACACATTGTCCCACACGTAATACGTGGTGTAGCGTTGACATTTCACAGTTAATCGTGCTTCATTAGTGTCTACTGAAAGTTCAAACTGGTGGTCACTAGAAATGGCTTGTGCATCCCAGATAATTTGCCCATTCTTGTAACGAGCAAACTTACTGTCTTCAAGAAGTGGGAGGTCTCCAAAACGCTTGCTGTCTTGAGGACTGTGAATCAGCACAGCGTACACAATTTCCTGTTTGTAGAACATGGTCTTGAAGACCCTCAGAACTGGTTCCTTTCCTCCACAGTTCTGCTCCTTGTACAGTTCCATCAGCTCAGCCAGGGGAAATGTAAATCTGTAATTACCGTAGCGGGATATATCATGCTGGAAAGCTGGTGAGGTGGTAAACTTCTTCAGGAATGTCTCTGTCATTTCGATTTTCTCATTCTCCAAGTAGAGTTTCTCTGCAGACTTGATCTCCTCTTCATTAATTGCTAATGTCCACCATGAAAACTCAGTGTTAGGGGGCCTAGTGTTAGGGGGTTTAATCTTCTCTGACTCCAGTATTGCTTTGAATGGTTCTTTGGTAGTGACATGGGCTACACTTGAAACATGAAATTCAACAGGAGTTGGATATTCAGGCACAGTTTTATCTAAGTAATCCAGTATCTTTGGTTTGTCTCTAGATTTTGCCTTAATGTTGTCAGTGTCCCTCCGGCCCAAATGACATATTTTCGTCCATATCGTAGGATCTTCGTCTATGTGTTTTCTCAGCTCTTCTAAACTCAGGTGCTTCCCGTCCACTGAGATCTCCGTCATGTCACGTAAATTTAAATCTGCCTTGAACTCCACCTGCAAAGATAAAGATTACTGCACAAACTAGAAAACAATCCTGCTGTAGAACCTCTGAAGGGCTCTCCAAAAAAGTTCAAAAGCACAAGATTTTTTTTCCGTTCTGAAAAGCTGTCAACATATTTCTATAAACAATTCTAATGTGTGTTTTCTATAGAGTTCTGAATGAATGTATTAATTTAAAGTAAGAAAAACTTCAGTCATTGTGATGATTGAGAGATCAGTGCAGAATCTGCTCTGAATTGCTGGATTTGAGTTGAACAGATGTTGGAAGTCCATGTCACGTGTTTTATTTTTCCTATAATTTAGTCAGTGCTAACAGTGTCTGCATGATGTACTGGCCAAACTCCTACTTGTGTTTGCCACCAACACTGGCCTTAACATGGTTCAGTGTAAGTTGATGATCATCAAACCATTAATCTTTGATATCAATGAGATATTTACATTTAAATTGACAGCCCTTTCGGCCAACATTGGCCTGGTTTCTGATGATGGTGATGCAATGTATGGCTTTCTACAGACCCACTGAAAAACACATCCCATGCTAAATTTGGCTACATTGGTGTCACATCCATGTACCCTGTACAGGTTATTCATGCTAGTTCAAAATTGATATTATTTCAATGTTTAAATAAACAGAAAGAAAAACAGGGGGAAGCATCTGTGCAGCCTATTCAGATTTGCCAGATTGGGATGATTCTACTCAATTGCTTCAATTTGGGAATTTTAACTCACTTGGAATTTAGACTAAAATCATTTTGCTTTGAGTGACCCTATACCTTAATTATGTTTATTTTATGTGAGGTCAGGAATGGCTTATTCTGCAAGTAAGTAAAGTTTCTCTGCAGACTTGATCTCCTTTAACCAAAATATCATTTGGAATAGTTTCTCGGTAGTGGTGTGGGCTACACTTAAAACATGAAATTCAACAGGAGTTGGATATGTTGGCACATTGTTAACTAATTAATCCAGTATCTTTGGTTTCTGCAGTTTGACTTAAACCTGTCAGTGTCTGACAGGCCCAACCGACATACCTTTATGTCCTTTTTCTTCTCTGAGATCTCTGCCATTTCATGGGAATTGTATTCTGCCTTTATCTCCTCCTGCAAAGACAAAATTTAGAGGATGTCACATCTTTACATTTTTTCTCACAACAAACCAAATTAGAGCAGATGTCAGAGAGTCTGATCTGCATAATCAACAAAAACTTCATCTAGCCAGGGTGCTATAATTTAGTCAGTGCTAACAGTGTCTGAATGATGTGTTGGCCAAACTCCTCCGTGTGTTAGCCACCAACAAGGACCGTAACATGGTTAACTGTAAGTTGATGCCCATCAAGTAATTTATCTTTGATATCAATTAGATATTTTTAATACAATTTCACAGCACATTCATTGGCCGTTCGTTCTACAGGCTCGCTAAAAAATACACGCCATGTTAAATTTGGCTGCATTGGTGTTACATCCATTAACCCCGGACAGGTAATTCAAACTGGCTCAAAATGAATATTACTAAAAGTGTTTCAATGTTTAAATCCACAGGAAGTAGGTTACAGATAATATAATCTGTGCAGCCTATTCAGATTTGCCAGATATGGATGAGACCTCCAAGTTGGTTCAAAGCCCACTTCAGACTTCTAACCCACTTGGATTTTAGACTGCAAATTCGACCGGCACAACAGACATACCTTCTTCACTATCACTGGATCTTCGTTTTTCAGGTCTTCTAAATCCACACGTTTCCGCTTCACTGAGATCTTAGCCTTTTCAAGTGAATCGTGTTCTGCCTTGAACTCCACCTGCAAAGATAATGGTTACTACACCAACTAGAAAACAGTCCTGCTGTAGATCCTCTGAAGGACCCAAAGAAGTCAAAAATAGAACTTTTTTTAACAAGCTGTCAACCTGTTACCATAACCCATTTTGGTGTTTTGGTGACTGCTATAGAGTTCTGCCTGAATTCACTGAGATCATTTAAAGAGGAACTCTCTTTCTGGAGAAATTTGCTGAGTCAGAATTGTTCACAATTATAGTACTAGGAAGCAGACGTCCAAAGTATTTGATGGCTCTAAAAGCTACATCCCATTAAGTTATTACACAACACAGTGATAAATGTGTTGCTTGATACTTGAGACATTTCTGATAGTTTTGTTATAAAGCGTTGGCATAAAACGTACTTTTAGTAAAAAAAAAAGAGAGAGAGAGAGACTGAACCTGCCAGCGGTCAAGCAGAACAACCCAGAGCGAATGGAAATTGACGGTGTAAGCAAAAAACTACAACCCCATTTCCAAAAAAGTTGGGACGCTGTGCAGAATGTGAATAAAAATAGAATGCAATGACGTCCAAATCATGTAAACCATATTTTTAAAGGAAAATACCACAAAGACAACGTATCAAATGTTGAAATTGAGAAATTGTTGTTTGAAAAAGGATTTTAGCTGCTCAACAGTTCGGGGTCTCCTTTGTCGTATTTCTCATTTTATAATGCACCGAATGTTTTCAGACAGGTTTGGACTGCAGGCAGGTCAGTTTAGCACCCGGACTCTTTTAATAGCCATGCTGTTGTAATGTATGCAGAATGTGGTTTGACACTGTCTTGCTGAAATAAGCAAGGCCTTCCCTGAAAAAGACGTTGTCTGGATGGCAGCATATGTTGCCAAAACATGTATATATAATTTAGCATTAATGATTCACAGATGAGCACAACACTCATGCCATGTGCACTAATGCCCCCTTATACCATCATGAATACTGGCTTTTGAACTGTGCGCTGATAACAAGCTGAGTGGTCACAGCGTCCATAATTTCCAAAAGAATTTTAAATGTTTTTTTGTCGGACCACAGGACACTTTTCCACTTCACCTCAGTCCATTTTAAATGAGCTCAGGCCCAAAGAAGGCGGCAGTGTTTCTGGATCCTGTTTATGTACAGTTTCTGCTTTGCGTTTTAGAGTTTTAACTTTCAATTGTGGATGCAGCGCCAAACTGTGTTCACAGACAGTGGTTTTCAGAAGTGTTTCTGAGCCCATACAGTGATTTCCACTGCAGAATCATTGTTTTTAAAGCAGTGCTGCTTGAGGGCCCAAAGATCCTGGCCAGCAAATACTGTTTTTTGGCCTTGTGCCTTGCATACAGAGATTTCTTCAGATTCTCTGAATCTTTTAATGATATTATGTACTGCAGATAAAAGCAGAAGTTCTTTGCTATTTTACGTTGAGAAACATTATTCTTGGATTGTTGCACTATTTGATTGCGCAGTCTTTCACAGAGTGGTGAACCCCTCCCCATCTTTACTTCGGAAAGACTCCGCCTCTCTGGGATGCTTTTTTATACCCAATCATGTTACTGACCTTTTACCAATCAACCACCAAGTTTTTTTTAGCATTATACAACTTTTATTGCCTTTTATTGCCCCGTCTCAACTTTTTTGGAACGTGTTGTTGGCATCAAATTCAAAATGGGCCTAAAATAAAATTTCTTAGTCTCAACATTTGATATGTTGTCTTTGTACTATTTTCAATTAAATGTAGGGTTTAAATGATCTGCACATCATTGCATTTTGTTTTTATTTACAGTTTGCAGAACATCCCAACTTTTTAGATGACGTCTTTTTCCAGGGAAAAACACAAAACCAACAGGGGGGATGCATCTATACAGCTTATTCAGATTTGCCAGATATAGATTATGTTACTGAATTGATTGATTTTGGACTTTTAACTGACTTGGGCTGAAATCCAGTGACACAATACTTTATTTCATTAAAACAAATGACTGAATTTTCCAGTTCATACCAAAACAATCATAACACTGCCTGAACTTTACCAAATATTTGAGTAGTGACTTTCAGCTAATTTTGAGCAGAATTCAAAAACTCTAGCCAGTACATGTCTAGCAAACACAGCTTTGAACAGTTGTACACACATAAAACCGCACAGCATACAATTGTTCATTAAAACACAAAAACGTTTATTTGCAGTTTACTGTATGTAAGTATGTGTTTCAGGAAGTGACCATTCTTAATGTTCCACACTGATTTTCAGAATTTGGGACACATTTACTTCAAAGCAATGAGATCTGACTGCTCACCATGCGGCCATGAGGGACAGGGAGGCAGTCTCACTACCTGAGCTAAAATGCAGGGGCGTGGCTAAAATAAGGCTCCGCCCACAGACTCAAACTCTGTGTTTGGGTAGTGACATGAAAATGAGGGACAGCATTTTTTTGACCATCAAATCCACTCACTTGCCGCTCTAGTGTTCTTGCTTTAATTAAAATCTACATTTATTTCCTGAATCACGCTGATATCAAATTTACGATCTGACACCTCTTGTCTCTTGCTTCAGATGGAGAGACAAAGCAGAAAAAGTTCCGACATTTAAGTGCATTATCAATACTCATCAAAAGCTGATAAAAGATCACACACTTGGGTTGCATTTAAATAACTGTCAATACCAACTGCTTTTAAAACCACAGAATTCAGCCACACCCAGTGACATCCTGAAACTGTCACGGTAACAGTTTCGGGAAGACTTTTGCAGTCAGATGACGTAATCAGATTATATGTAGGTTGTTACCACCCAATACAGCACATCAGCCAAAAACATTTAGAGCAGCATGAACTTTAACCAGCATCTGCTGTAAAACGGTGGCCTTGTGATAAATTACCCTTCACCCTCTGTGGTATAGAGTGACGTTGCTTCTTCATAGAATTTTCCGTTCCACCTTAAATGGTGCAGCAGTTATGGAGGCCTAATAGAGGCAGATAGAGAGATAGACTAATAGACAGTAACTGCTGCACCATTTAAGGTGAAATGGGAAGATCAAATTAGAGGCCATTCAGTAACGTTCTTAATATTAAAGAATGTCATCCTCTGTTTATGGTATTAAGGTGGGTAATTGTTTAATGGTTTAACCACAGAGAAGAACACTAGTTGGTGGTGGTCATCACTGTAATGATGTCTTTGGGACATTTTGCTGGCTCCATTTGAAATTCAGGCTATGCCACTGACTCACCACACATACAGCAACATCTAAGCAACATGTATTCATAATCAGCACACACACAACATCTAAGTAACATTTTAGCACAGATACAGTGCCATTAAAGGGGAATTTCACCAATTTTCAAGATTTTTGCATAATTCTGTCATTGAGATGTAAACAAAGTTATTCAGAATGGTTTGATGTAAAAAGGGGTAAAATAGTGCATCTGGAAAAAAAAAATTGGGGGGCATTATTTTGCCTCAGAACAACAAAAAATAATAATAATAATTTGGGGGGGATTATTTTGCCTCACAACACCCTGCATATATCCATCTGCCATGAATGGATTAAAATAAATGGATTAACAAGACGGTTTAGGCCAAAACTTTATCACAAAACCACTGTAAAACAATGTCTCAAATATCAGGCAGAGCATTCATAACCAATTATGTAATAACTTTCTGTGAGGGAGCTTTTAGATGTCTTTTTCCTGTCACCACCACTGAGCAATTCGGACTCGGTACGTTTTTTCTAGAATTAAGCATTTCACACCAAACCACTCTGAATGACTCTGTTTACATCTTAACTATTTAGTTATGTAGAAATTTTGAAAAAATGGAGGGGATCCCCTTCAAGTATCCCACTATCCCACTTTATTTGGACTCACTTTACAAAACGTTTATTTTTTAAGAGTCAAATGATGCCAGCGTGCTCGCTACTGTGATGGGAATTCACACCATCCCCCCTCCCTGAGTCAGAATTGCTCATAGTGGTGGTGATAAGAACCAGACGTCTGAAGAATGTAGTGCCTCTAAAAGCTCCCTCACAGAAAGTTATTACATGAAAGGGTTGCCTGATGTCTGTCATATTGTTTTATGACAGCTTTGAGGTGAAGTTTTGCCTTAAAAAAACAACATTACATGTTTGATTTTTTTGGGGGGGGGATTTTTACCCAATTATGTCCCCAAATTTAGTCGTCTCCAAATCCACCCGCTCGTTAGGACTCCCCCAATCACACGATACTATCAACGCTAGGAGGGTGAAGGCTAACACAGGCTGTGAAGCGCCACCGCTTCTTTTCAAACTGCCGCTCACGCAACGTCATTGGACAGCCGAACGCGCTCGGAGGGAAACCGCCAACCGCCAGATCTGTTACGTCAGCTAACAGACGCCTGCGCTGACTAGCATCGCGTTGGGTGATGGGGGGAGAGGGAGGGGCCATCCTCCCCACCCAGAGAGCGAGGCCAATTGTGCTCTCTTGGACTCCCGGCTACGGACGGCTGGGGCATCGAACTCGCGATCTCCTGATGATAGGGCCAACGCTTAGACGGTTGCGGCACTCGGGAGCCCTACATGTTTTGAGAAGAGCTTTTGGCCTAAAATGTGTACATTTTAAAATCCATTCATGGTGGAGGTGTACATGTAGGGTGTTGTGAGGAAAAAGAGTCCCCAGAGAAAAGTCCTTTTTTAAGATTTTGAACTATTTAACCTCATCAGCATTCCTTATAAAAACTCAGGAGACGCGTGTAGGTTCACTGGTGGTTTTGGATAGTAAATAAAATGTCTCTATGTGTGTTACTAGACATGGCAACCCCTGGTTCCCATCATCACCACTGTAAAGAACCCTGAGTCTATAATACACCATTTAACATCAAGCCACTCTGAATAACTTTGATGACATCTTAACGATTTATTTTTTTGAAGAAACACTGAGAAAATGGTGCACTTCCTTTTTTAAATTACTCAAGTATCTGTATAACAGTTAACTGTCAGTGTAGATACAAACTCCTTACCTTAGATTCAGAAATATAATATATATATAATAAAAACACTGCTTATATATCACTGAATTCCCTCCCACTGGAGGGATCATTGTGCGGAAATTGAAACTTACCTGAGAATAGAAACTGAAACTGAGACATTGCATTTGTGTGCATTTCTCTAACAATGCTATGATTTTGAGCTTTGAAAATGATAATATTGACGCAATATTGATATAAATAAAGAAAAATGAATTGCTGAGTATTCCATCAGCCTTTTCTAAATCCACATTTTTAAATGTCGAATGGTTCTTCATACGGTACAGGCTACACAAAGAATCAGAAACATCATGAACACAGGCTCCCCCCAGCTTTTACTGGAACAAATGATAAGTTCTGGAATGACGTCTGGATCTGCTGCAGCACTGTGGAGCATTTATAACAAACACAAAGCCTCTGTGGTTTTACTACGTCATAAAAAGTTGTTCTTCAGTAAAGTCCGTGGTTCTGTACAGAACAATCAACACTCATAGAACCATTTGACTGCAAAATGTAAAGCTTGCAACCCATGTACACAGAGTTGTTAGTTTCCAACTCTTTGGCCACTTTATCAGAAACACCCGACATAAAGGTGCATCATCAACATCATCTTCATCAACGAGAAAAGGGACCATCACAGGACCGTCTAATATTTCAGTGTTGCAGGTTTTGTCACACTGTGTTTTATTTACATACGTCATAAAGCACTTTAATGCATTTGTATGTATGACATTTTTATAAATAGTCCACTGGGGACAGTGCACAGGGCCTTTGACAGCCAGGGGCCTTGGGGGCCCCAAATACTTGGAAAAATCCATTGCAGATGCAAACATTAGATGAACAAACAGCCCTTGAATATGTACAAATGACTTCATATTGAATTCATGTTGCAAGTCATAGCCTAGTGGCAGGCGAGGTGAGCCAGTAATCCAAAGGCTGTAGGTTCAAATCCCAGGACCAACTGAATGTACCTGGTTGAGCACTTGGCAAGACACTTAACCCCCCACTGCCCCAGATGGTGCTGCTCTGTTCCTGGATTGGGCATAGTTAGGCAGCAAAATAACTAATTTGAGTGTTGAGTCAATAGAAGTACATTAAAATCCTATTACAGTATGGACACAATAGGCTACTGCACATTAATATTTTTGTTTATTTTCTAAATGAAAAATACATTTCCAGCCGTTGTCCACCCCTTCATAAAATAAAGAAAAATGAATGGCTGAGTATTCCATCAGCCTTTTCTAAATCCACATTTTAAATGTTGAATGGTTCTTCATACGGTACAGGCTACACAAAGAATAGGAAACATCACAAACACAGGCATAAACATAAACTTGTTCTTCAGTAAAGTCAGTGGTTCTGTACAGAACAATGAACACTCAAAGAACCATTTGACTGCAAAATGTAACGCTTGCAACCCATGTACACAGAGTTGTTAGTTTCCAACTCTTTGGCCACTTTATCAGAAACACCCAACATATAGGTGCATCATCAACATCAACATCTTCATCAACGAGAAGAGGGACCATCACAGGACCATCTAATATTTCAGTGTTGACGTTTTTGTCATACAGTGTTGTATTTACATACGTCATGAAGCACTTTTATGCATTTGTATGTATGAGTATGGGTATAGTGCACGGGGCCTCTGATGGCCAGAGGCCTTTGGGGTCAGAGGGTTGTGTGTTCAAATTGTAGGATTGACTGAATGTATCTGACTGTGCACTTGGCAAGACACTTAACACCTCCCAGGTTACTGCACATTAATAAGGCTAATTTTGCTTATTTTCTAAATGAAAAATATATTTCTAGCCCAAGTCTGTGGCCCACCTATTGAACAATTTGTGTTGGTCACACCCAGTCTGCTTGTGTTCTGCAAGATCTGGAACTATTGTGTTTTTAATTTTTCCAATATACAGACTTAATACCCCCCCCACACCCCCACCCCCACTTACACAAAAACATTTCCGTACAGAACCAGTTTTGTCTTTTAAGCAGTTTTATTGTCCAAACATTAATCCGGTAAACACTCCATACAGTACAGATTTAAAGGTTGTAAAGACAAATAAAGGCCTCGGTGAGCTCAGTGTGCAAACCCCTGTAAACCTATCAAGTACATGCACATATATATGGACACATATACTAATATCATCCATACCTTAACCTCAGTTCTAAGGTCTCCAAGGTTGAAGATCTGAAATGCTGAGAATGGGCTTGTTCAATCTTCGAAACGCTGCATTTAGGATTTCATTCCAGCTCAAAATACGGCTGCGTTCACTATTAAAATGAACAATGCATCTATCCAGAAAGCAGCTTCACTCAAACTGAATGGCTTTTCTTCTCAAAACCTCAGCATAAACGCACCACTGACTGACCGGACGTCTTTACCTGTAGACACCATTGCTCAGAAGCTATATTTCAATAATAACAATAAAATTACAATATTATACATCAAAAATTAAAAATAGAAAGTATTACAATACTATTTACCATAAAAGCCTTAAAAAAGATGTAGTGTCAGGGGATGTGATATTAAAATATATACAAATTCTTTTTTCTTGACTGGGTATTTAAATATGCAATGTATGTTTTGGAAAAAAAATATGAACTACATTGAAATATATAAAAATACATACAATCTAAAATATTTTGTAAATTGTTAAAATCTATTGCATTAAATATACTGGAGTGCCCGTCAGTATACTTGGGGAGCCTCCCAAGAACACGTATATGTGAGAAACATTGTAATTCCATCGATTCATCAATTAAAAAAAATACATTCATTCTTTCAGCATGAACAGAAAAAAAAAATCCAAAGTTAATAACAGAAAATAGACTATGAGTAAACATGGACGTTGTGTTTTGGGTAATTCTAAGCCCTACGAGTGAATGGTGTGAATTTGTACATCTACACTCATCATCCACTACTAGAAACACAACTGTGACGCTTCAGACACGACAACATAATTCACAAAAAGATTAATTAATTAATTAATTCTGCTTTACAAAACTACTGACTGGGACTTTTAACTAGAAATGGGCCTTTTGACTGGAAAAGACCTGCAACCTTCTGCAAGACCAAAGCAGGTACTCTCAGCCTCAGACTCATGGGACTGTCTGATGCATATTTTATGCTAATGAGGTGTTCAGGATGTCCTCATCAACTCATCAAGTCAGAAAACTGTCATCTCACCAAGCTGTAACAACTTTCGTTTGTGTTGTCGTTGTATTGTAAGCAATAATATGGAACTTGCCCATTTGTGTTTGTCACTGTTAGCTGTTCGAGGGCATTGTGGTTGTTGTTCATCTATCACACTGTAAAAAATTACAACCTAAAAATTGCACCCTTGGTCCCACCTCTTAATGAGGCTTTCTAATAAGGTGGATGGTAAATGTTAGATGTGTCTGTCTTGACTTGGTAATTGATACAGTTGGCCTGTCTTAAGGTTGGATTAGACTCAATACTAAACTGTCTTGATTGGGAATAGACTCGGGACTTGCCTATCTTGATTTTGGAACTGCCTCAGGACTTGCCTGTCTTGAGTTGGGAATTGACTTTAGACTTGAATTGGGGCTTGATTGTCTTAACTTGGGAATTGACTCGGGACTTGCCTGTCTTGATTTTGGAATTGCCTCTGGACTTGTCTGTCTTAATTTTGGAATTGCCTCAGGACATGCTTGTCTTGATTTTAGAATTGACTCTGGACATGCCTGTCTTCAATTGGGAAATGTCTTGAGACTTGACTTGGGACTTAATTATCTTAACTTGGGAACTGACTCGGGACTTGCCTGTCTTGATTTTGGAATTGCCTTGGGACTTGTCTGTCTTAATTTTGGAATTGACTCGGGACTTGCTTGTCCTGATTTTGGAATTGACTCAGGACTTGCCTGTCTTGATTTTGGAATTGCCTCAGGACTTGTCTGTCTTGATTTTGGAATTGCCTCGGGACTTGCCTGTTTTGATTTTGGAACTGCCTAGGGACATGCCTTTCATGAGTTGGTCATTGACTCAGGACTTGCCTTTCATGAGTTGAGCATTGACTCAGGACATGCCTGTGTTGAATTGGGAATTGACTTGAAACTTAATTGTCTTGGGTTGGGAACTGACTAAGGACCTGCCTGTCAACTTGGAAGTTGACTAGGGACACTGTAGAGTTGAGAATTGAGTAAGGACTTGCCTATCTTGACTTGGGCATTGACTTTGTCCCACCAATAGACAGGGGACTCTGATAAAGTAGATAAGGAGTGTAGATGAATAATAACAATGTGGGCACTTCCATAATAATCACCTACAGATAACTAAGCAGATACAGTTATTTTGAATGATACAATGTATTGTACACAAGTTGGATTTTGACCCAACTCTTGTCTCCTTGTTTTTGCATCTTAAACTCATTCTGGAATCATAATTTTGGCAGATTTTCCTTAATCCTCTTCTGATTCATATTTCAAGGCATTCACATTATCTTTGTTGTCTTCTAGCTCCTTTTTGCAACTGTCCACCAACTTCTTTGCATCTGCGAACATTGTTCCTCGCATTGTAAGATTTTCGCACCTATGGAGATTCTTCTCATGAAGTTCACAGACATCAAGAGCTTCTATAAGCCTTTTTCTAGGGACTTTCAGGGCCTTATGAGAAGGCAAATGAAAAGCCAGACACACATTGTCCCACACGTAATACTCGGAGGAGGTTTGATGTTTCACAGTTAATCGTGCTTCATCAGTGTCTACTGAAAGTTCAAACTGGTGGCCACCAGAAATGGCTTGTGCATGCCAGATAATTTGCCCATCCTCATAACGAGCAAACTTACCGTCTTCAAGAAGTGGGAGGTCTCCAAAACGCTTGCTGTCTTGAGGACTGTGAATCAGCACAGCGTACACAATTTCCTGCTTGTAGAACATGGTCTTGAAGACCCTGAGAACTGGCTCCTTTCCTCCACAGTTCTGCTCCTTGTACAGTTCCATCAGCTCAGCCAGGGGAAATGTAAATCTGTAATTACCATAGCGGGATATATCATGCTGGAAAGCTGGTGAGGTGGTAAACTTCTTCAGGAATGTCTCTGTCATTTCGATTTTCTTATTCTCCAAGTAGAGTTTCTCTGCAGACTTGATCTCCTCTTCATTAATTGCTAATGTCCACCATGAAAACTCAGTGTTAGGGGGCCTAGTGTTAGGGGGTTTAATCTTCTCTGACTCCAGTATTGCTTTGAATGGTTCTTTGGTAGTGACATGGGCTACACTTGAAACATGAAATTCAACAGGAGTTGGATATTCAGGCACAGTTTTATCTAAGTAATCCAGTATCTTTGGTTTGTCTCTAGATTTTGCCTTAATGTTGTCAGTGTCCCTCCGGCCCAAATTACATATTTTCGTCCATATCGTAGGATCTTCGTCTATGTGTTTTCTCAGCTCTTCTAAACTCAGGTGCTTCCCGTCCACTGAGATCTCCGTCATGTCACGTAAATTTAAATCTGCCTTGAACTCCACCTGCATAGATAAAGATTACTGCACAAACTAGAAAACAATCCTGCTGTAGAACCTCTGAAGGGCTCTCCAAAAAAGTTCAAAAGCACAAGATTTTTTTCTGTTCTAAAAAACTGTCAACATATTTCTATAAACAATTCTAATGTGTGTTTTCTATAGAGTTCTGAATGAATGTATTAATTTAAAGTAAGAAAAACTTCAGTCATTGTGATGATTGAGAGATCAGTGCAGAATCTGCTCTGAATTGCTGGATTTGAGTTGAACAGATGTTGGAAGTCCATGTCACATGTTTTATTTTTCCTATAATTTAGTCAGTGCTAACAGTGTCTGCATGATGTACTGGCCAAACTCCTACTTGTGTTTGCCACCAACACTGGCCTTAACATGGTTCAATGTAAGTTGATATTAATGAGATATTTACATTTAAATTGACAGCCCTTTAGGCCATCATTGGCCTGGTTTCTGATGATGGTGATGCAATGTATGGCTTTCTACAGACCCACTGAAAAACACATCCCATGCTAAATTTGGCTACATTGGTGTCACATCCATGTACCCTGTACAGGTTATTCATGCTAGTTCAAAATTGATATTATTTCAATGTTTAAATAAACAGAAAGAAAAACAGGGGGAAGCATCTGTGCAGCCTATTCAGATTTGCCAGATTGGGATGATTCTACTCAATTGCTTCAATTTGGGAATTTTAACTCACTTGGAATCTAAAATCATTTTGCTTTGAGTGACCCTATACCTTAATTATGTTTATTTTATGTGAGGTCAGGAATGGCTTATTCTGCAAGTAAGTAAAGTTTCTCTGCAGACTTGATCTCCTTTAACCAAAATATCATTTGGAATAGTTTCTCGGTAGTGGTGTGGGCTACACTTAAAACATGAAATTCAACAGGAGTTGGATATGTTGGCACATTGTTAACTAATTAATCCAGGATCTTTGGTTTCTGCAGTTTGACTTAAACCTGTCAGTGTCTGACCGGCCCAACCGGCATACCTTTATGTCCTTTTTCTTCTCTGAGATCTCTGCCATTTCATGGGAATTGTATTCTGCCTTTATCTCCTCCTGCAAAGACAAAATTTAGAAGATGTCACATCTTAAATTTTTTCTCACAACAAACCAAATTAGAGCAGATGTCTGAGAGTCTGATCTGCATAATCAACAAAAACTTAGCTAGCAGAGCTGCCATCTAGCCAGGGTGCTATAATTTAGTCAGTGCTAACAGGGTCTGAATGATGTGTTGGCCAAACTCCTCCGTGTGTTAGCCACCAACAAGGACCGTAACATGGGTAAATGTAAGTTGATGCCCATCAAGTAATTTATCTTTGATATCAATTAGATATTTTTAATACAATTTCACAGCACATTCATTGGCCGTTCGTTCTACAGACTCGCTAAAAAACACACGCCATGTTAAATTTGGCTGCATTGGTGTTACATCCATTAACCCAGGACAGGTAATTCAAACTGGCTCAAAATGAATATTACTAAAAGTGTTTCAATGTTTAAATCCACAGGAAGTAGGTTACAGATAATATAATCTGTGCAGCCTATTCAGATTTGCCAGATATGGATGAGACCTCCAAGTTGGTTCAAAGCCCATTTCAGACTTCTAACCCACTTGGATTTTAGAATGCAAATTCGACCGGCACAACAGACATACCTTCTTCACTATCACTGGATCTTCATTTTTCAGGTCTTCTAAATCCACACGTTTCCGCTTCAATGAGATCTTAGCTTTTTCAAGTGAATCGTGTTCTGCCTTGAACTCCACCTGCAAAGATAATGGTTACTACACCAACTAGAAAACAGTCCTGCTGTAGATCCTCTGAAGGACCCAAAGAAGTCAAAAATAGAACTTTTTTAACAAGCTGTCAACCTGTTACCATAACCCATTTTGGTGTTTTGGTGACTGCTATAGAGTTCTGCCTGAATTCACTGAGATCATTTAAAGAGGAACTCTTATATATTAATATAATATAATATAATATATATATATTACCCTATGATTACTTCTGTGTTTCCTCTCAAAATCGCATTCTCAACTGAGATCAATGAACATCAGCTAATGTGCTTTCGTAGTTACTAGCGTGTAGCTGCAGCTGTTCAACACGGCTAACTCAGATTCAGATCCCTCTCAAATTCACATTCCCTTTGACAAATTAATGCACGGGCCAGAGGACCTGATTCTCAAACATGAATTTGAGAGGGATCTGAATCGGATACAACACCAGCAACAGCTTTTGTTTACAGTTTATTTTTACAGTTTTCTTACCTATTTTTGGAAGATGGCAAAGTCTGTGGAGGACTTTGATAAGGTCTGTTTCCAAAATGTTATAGAGTCATATTGATTTGAACCAGAATACACAAATGACTTGCAGTGGCTTAAAGAAGAGAGACAAACAAGGGAGAGAGAGAGAGAGACTGAACCTGCCAGCAGCAAAGCAGAACAACCCAGAGCGAATGGAAATTGACGGTATAAGCAAAAAACTACAACCCCATTTCCAAAAAAGTTGGGACACTGTGCAGAATGTGAATAAAAATAGAATGCAATGATATACAAATCATGTAAACCATATTTTTAAAGGAAAATACCACAAAGACAACGTATCAAATGCTGAAATTGAGAAATTGTTGCTTGATAAAGGATTTTAGCTGCTCAACAGTTCGGGGTCTCCTTTGTCATATTTCTCATTTTAGAATGCACCGAATGTTTTCAGACAGGTCTGGACTGCAGGCAGGTCAGTTTAGCACACGGACTCTTTTAATAGCCATGCTGTTGTAATGTATGCAGAATGTGGTTTGACACTGTCTTGCTGAAATTAGCAAGGCCTTCCCTGAAAAAGACGTTGTCTGGATGGCAGCAGATGTTGCCAAAACATGTATATATAATTTAGCATTAATGATTCACAGATGTGCATGTCACCCATGCCATGTGCACTAATGCCCCCTTATACCATCATGAATACTGGCTTTTGAACTGTGCGCTGATAACAAGCTGAGTGTTCTTTAGCCTGGAGGACACAGTGTCCATAATTTCCAAAAGAATTTTAAATGTTGATTTGTCGGACCACAGGACACTTTTCCACTCCACCTCAGTCCATTTTAAATGAGCTCAGGCCCAAAGAAGGCGGCAGTGTTTCTGGATCCTGTTATGTACAGTTTCTGCTTTGCGTTTTAGAGTTTTAACTTTCAATTGTGGATGCAGCGCCGAACTGTGTTCACAGACAGTGGTTTTCAGAAGTGTTTCTGAGCCCATACGGTGATTTCCACTACAAAATCATGTCTGTTTTTAATGAAGTGCTGCTTGAGGGCCCAAAGATCCTGGCCAGCAAATACTGGTTTTTGGCCTTGTGCCTTGCATACAGAGATTTCTCCAGATTCTCTGAATCTTTTAATGCTATTATGTACTGCAGATAAAAGCAGAAGTTCTTTGCTATTTTACGTTGAGAAACATTATTGTTGGATTGTTGCACCATTTGATTGCGCAGTCTTACACAGAGTGTTGAACCCCTCCCCATCTTTACGTCTGAAAGACTCAGCCTCTCTGGGATGCTTTTTTATACCCAATCATGTTACTGACCTTTTACCTGTTTTTTTTTTAGCATTATACAACTTTTATTGCCTTTTATTGTCCTGTCTCAACTTTTTTGGAACGTGTTGTTGGCATCAAATTCAAAATGGGCATATATTTTTCAAAAAACAATACAATTTCTCAGTTTCAACATTTGATTTGTTGTCTTTGTACTATTTTCAATGAAATACAGGGTTTAAATGATCTGCACATCATTGCATTTTGTTTTTATTTACATTTTGCAGAGCATCCCAACTTTTTTAGATGACGTCTTTCTCCAGGGAAAAACACAAAACCAACAGGGGGGATGCATCTGTGCAGCTTATTCAGATTTGCCAGATATAGATTATGTTACTGAATTGATTCATTTTGGACATTTTTAACTGACTTGGGCTGAAATCCAGTGACCCAATACTTTATTTCATTAAAACAAATGACTGAATTTTCCATTTCATACCAAAACAGTCACAACACTGCCTGAACTTTACCAAATATTTGAGTAGTGACTTTTAGCTAATTTTGAGCAGAATTCAAAAACTCTAGCCAGTACATGTCTAGCAAACACAGCTTTAAACAGTTTATGTGAACACACATAAAACCGTACAGCGTACAATTGTTCATTAAAACACAAAAACGTTTATTTGCAGTTTACTGTATGTAAGTATGTGTTTCAGGAAGTGACCATTCTTAATGTTCCACACTGATTTTCAGAATTTGGGACACATTTGCTTCAAAGCAATGAGATCTGACTGCTCACCATGCGGCCATGAGGGACAGGGAGGCAGTCTCACTTCCTGCGCTAAAATGCAGGGGTGTGGCTAAAATAAGGCTCCGCCCACATACTCAAACTCTGTGTTTGGGTAGTGACATGAAAATGAGGGACAACATTTTTTTGACCATCAAATCCACTCATTTGCCGCTTTATCAAAAGCTGATAAAAGATCACACACTTGGGTCGCATTTAAATAACTGTCAATACCAACTGCTTTTAAAACCACAGAATTCAGCCACACCCAGTGACATCCTGAAACTGTCACGTTAACAGTTTCGGGAAGACTTTTGCAATCAGATGACGTAATCAGATTATATGTAGGTTGTTACCACCCAATACAGCACATCAGCCAAAAACATTTAGAGCAGCATGAACTTTAACCAGCATCTGCTGTAAAACGGTGGCCTTCTGATAAATTACCCTTCACCCTCTGTGGTATAGAGTGACGTTGCTTCTTCATAGAATTTTCCATTCCACCCTAAATGGTGCAGCAGTTATGGAGGCCTAATAGAGGCGCCAGACAGTAACTGCTGCACCATTTAAGGTGGAATGGGAAGATCAAATTAGAGGCCATTCAGTAACGTTCTTAATATTAAAGAATGTCATCCTCTGTTTATGGTATTAAGGTGGGTAATTGTTTAATGGTTTAACCACAGAGACGAAGGCTAGTTGGTGGTGGTCATCACTGTAATGATGTCTCTGGGGACATTTTGCTGGCTCCATTTGAAATTCAGGCTATGCCACTGACTCACCACACAAATCACTCAACAAACCACTCTGAATGACTCTGTTTACATCTTAACTATTTAGTTATGTAGAAATTTTGACGGAAAATGGAGGGGATCCCCTTTAAGTATCCCACTATCCCACTTTATAAAACTTTTATTTTTTAAGAGTCAAATGATGCCAGCGTGCTCGCTCCTGTGATGGGAATTCACACCATCCCCCCGAGTCAGAATTGCTCATAGTGGTGGTGATAAGAACCAGACCTCTGAAGAGTGTAGTGCCTCTAAAAGCTCCCTCACAGAAAGTTATTACATGAAATGAGTGCCTGATATCTATTTTAAGATTTTGAACTATTTAACATCATCAGCATTCCATATAAACACTCAGAAGACACGTGTAGGTTCACTGGTGGTTTTGGATAGTTAATAAAATGTCTATATGTGTGTTACTAGACATGGCAACCCCTGGTTCCCATCACCACCACTGTAAAGAACCCTGAGTCTATAATACACCATTTAACATCAAGCCACTCTGAATAACTTTGATGACATCTTAATGATTTAAGTTTTTGCAGAAACACTTCCTTTTTTAAATTACTCAAGTATCTGTATAACAGTTAACTGTCAGTGTAGATACAAACTCCTTACCTTAGATTCAGAAGCAGTATTGCCCACATATGTTGCCATGTTTAGTCTGCGGTTCAACGAAAAAACCCAGCAAAATCAGGAAATCAGGTCTGCAGCTGACCGATCACAACCAGCACAATGTCCAGTCGAATGTGAAGTGAGGAAATAAAAACACTGCTTATATATCACTGAATTCCCTCCCACTGGAGGGATCATTGTGCGGAAACTGAAACTTACCTGAGAATAGAAACTGAAACTGAGACATTGCATTTGTGTGCATTTCTCTAACAATGCTATGATTTTGAGCTTTGAAAATGATAATATTGACGCAATATTGATATAAATAAAGAAAAATGAATTGCTGAGTATTCCATCAGCCTTTTCTAAATCCACATTTTAAAATATCGAATGGTTCTTCATTCTGTATAGGCTACACAAAGAATCAGCACATGTACATAGAGTTGTTAGTTTCCAACTCTTTGGCCACTTTATCAGAAACACTCAACATATAGGTGCATCATCAACATCATCTTCATCATCGAGAAAAGGGACCATCACAGGACCGTCTAATATGTCAGTGTTGCAGGTTTTGTCACACTGTGTTTTATTTACATACGTCATGAAGCACTTTAATGCATTTGTATGTATGACATTTTTATAAATAGTCCACTGGGGACAGTGCACAGGGCCTCTGACAGCCAGGGGCCTTGGGGGCCCCAAATACTTGGAAAAATCCATTGCAGATGCAAACATTAGATGAACAAACAGCCCTTGAATATGTACAAATGACTTCATATTGAATTCATATTTAAAGTCATAGCCTAGTGGCAGGCAAGGTGAGCCAGTAATCCGAAGGCTGTAGGTTCAAATCCCAGGACCAACTGAATATACCTGGTTGAGCACTTGGCAAGACACTTAACCCCCCACTGCCCCAGATGGTGCTGCTCTGTTCCCGGATTGGGCATAGTTAGGCAGCAAAATAACTAATTTGAGTGTTGAGTCAATAAAAGTAAATTAAAATCCTATTACAGTATGGACATAATAGGCTATTGCACATTAATATTTTTGTTTATTTTCTAAATGAAAAATACATTTCCAGCCATTGTCCAATATGGACAAACACAAATATGAAATATGGGAACTGTACACACATTTAAGGTCTTATGATTGTTGCTGGTGTTGCTGGGAAGACTCCAAACACCAAAGGGGTCTTACAAGGCCAGAACCCACTAAAGTCTGCAGCCCACCTGTTGTACAATTTGTGTTAGTCAAACCCAGTCTACTTGCGTTCTGCTAAGGCCTACAGCTATTATGTTTGGACTTAATAACCCCCCCCACCACCAACTCACCCCTTCATAAAACAGACCTGAACCGAACCAGTTTTGTCTTTTAAGCAGTTTTATTGTCCAAACATTAATCCGGTAAACATTCCATACAGTACAGATTTAAAGGTTGTAAAGACAAATAAAGGCCTCGGTGAGCTCAGTGTGCAAACCCATGTAAACGCACCACTTACTGACCGGACGTCTTTACCTGTAGACATCATTGCTCAGAAGCTATCACAATAGGAGTGATAGCTTCTGAACTGAATCCAGTGAGACTGAGCAAACCTTCAGGCCTGAAATGCTTCCATATTGCCCTGAATGTTTAGCTAGCATCTCCTTGTTAGCTAAAGTGCAGTTTGCAGTTTTGGATAGTTAATAAAATGTCTATATGTGTGTTACTAGACATGGCAACCCCTGGTTCCCATCACCACCACTGTAAAGAAAGCTGAGTCTATAATACACCATTTAACATCAAGCCACTCTGAATAACTTTGATGACATCTTAATGATTTAAGTTTTTGCAGAAACACTTCCTTTTTTAAATTACTCAAGTATCTGTATAACAGTTAACTGTCAGTGTAGATACAAACTCCTTACCTTAGATTCAGAAGCAGTATTGCCCACATATGTTGCCATGTTTAGTCCGCGGTTCAACGAAAAAACCCAGCAAAAATCAGGAAATCAGGTCTGCAGCTGACCGATCACAACCAGCACAATGTCCAGTTGAATGTGAAGTGAGGAAAAAAACAAACAAACACCGCTTTTATATCACTGAATTCCCTCCCACTGGAGGGATCATTGTGCGGAAACTGAAACTTACCTGAGAATAGAAACTGAAACTGAGACATTGCATTTGTGTGCATTTCTCTAACAATGCTATGATTTTGAGCTTTGAAAATGATAATATTGACGCAATATTGATATAAATAAAGAAAAATGAATTGCTGAGTATTCCATCAGCCTTTTCTAAATCCACATTTTAAAATATCGAATGGTTCTTCATACGGTACAGGCTACACAAAGAATAGGAAACATCATAAACACAGGCTCCCCCCAGCTTTTACTGGAACAAATGATAAGTTCTGGAATGATGTCTGGATCTGCTGCAGCACTGTGGAGCATTTATCATTGTGTGGAATCGAAACTGAAACTGGAAAAGTGTGTTTGTGTGCATTTCTCTAGCAATGCAATGACTTTGAAAATGATGATACTGATGCAATATTGATATAAATAAAGAAAAATGAATGGCTGAGTATTCCATCAGCCTTTTCTAAATCCACATTTTAAATGTTGAATGGTTCTTCATACGGTACAGGCTACACAAAGAATAGGAAACATCAAACACAGGCATAAACATAAACTTGTTCTTCAGTAAAGTCCGTGGTTCTGTACAGAACAATGAACACTCAAAGAACCATTTGAATGCAAAATGTAAAGCTTGCAACCCATGTACACAGAGTTGTTAGTTTCCAACTCTTTGGCCACTTTATCAGAAACACCCAACATATAGGTGCATCATCAACATCTTCATCAACGAGAAAAGGGACCATCACAGGACCATCTAATATTTCAGTGTTTTTGTCATACAGTGTTGTATTTACATACGTCATGAAGCACTTTTATGCATTTGTATGTATGAGTATGGGTATAGTGCACGGGGCCTCTGATGGCCAGAGGCCTTTGGGGTCCCAAATACTTGGGAAAATCCATTGCAGGTGCAAACAGATTAGATTAAGTCATAGCCTGGTGGTATGAGAAGTGACCCAGTAATCAGAAGGTTGTGTGTTCAAATCCTAGGACTGACAATGTATCTGACTGTGCCTTTGGCAAGACACTTAACCCCCAGATGGTGGTACTCTGGTCCTCGATTGGGCATAGTTAAGCAGCAAAACGACAAACTTCCTCTGTTAGATCATTAATATCATATTACAGTATAGACACAATAGAATACTGCACATTAATACGGCTAATTTTGTTTATTTTCTAAATGAAAAATATATTTCTAGCCCAAGTCTGCAGCCCACCTATTGTACAATTTGTGTTAGTCACACCCAGTCTGCTTGTGTTCTGCTAAGACCTGGAACTGTTGTGTTTGAAATTTTTCCAATATACAGACTTAATAACCCCCCCACCCCCAACTCACCCCTTCATAAAACAGACCTGAACCGAACCAGTTTTGTCTTTTAAGCAGTTTTATTGTCCAAACATTAATCCGGTAAACATTCCATACAGTACAGATTTAAAGGTTGTAAAGACAAATAAAGGCCTCGGTGAGCTCAGTGTGCAAACCCATGTAAACCTATCAAGTACATGCACATATATATGGACACGTATGCTAATATCATCCATACCGTAACCTCAGTTCTAAGGTCTCCAAGGTTGAAGATCTGAAATGCTGAGAATGGGCTTGTTCAATCTTCGAAACACTGCATTTAGGATTTCATTCCAGCTCAAAATACAGCTGCGTTCACTATTAAAATGAACAATGCATCTATCCAGAAAGCAGCTTCACTCAAACTGAATAGCTTTTCTTCTCAAAACCTCAGCATAAACGCACCACTGACTGACCGGACGTCTTTACCTGTAGACACCATTGCTCAGAAGCTATAGTAATAGGAGTGATAGCATCTGAACTGAATCCAGTGAGACTGAGCAAACCTTCAGGCCTGAAATGCTTCCATATTGCCCTGAATGTTTAGCCAGCATCTCCTTGTTAGCTAAAGTGCAGTAGAGTTCTTAAAAATCCTATTTGAGGAATAATGCTAAGTGCTAAATCAATAATATTGTTAGACTATGTTACAGTGAGGTGGCAAACAATGACATACACTGCTTTGGTCTTGCTGCAACAGGATGGTGATGATGATGATGAGGACGCCATCCATGCTAATCACAGCACATGAGCCTTCAAACCAGCAGCAGCACAATAGTGAAATGCAGCCATGCACGTTAATTCAAACATACATTTCTGTGGCCATTGCTTGTAACGTTGAGCCCCACTTCATTCTAGTTTTCAGGTAATAACTTGTGGCTTAATGCATTGTTGCTTTCCTCCTTTTGTGGCAGGACTGCACACAGTAGGCACTCTAATGGTTAAGCCTAGTCTAGACTAAATTCAGTCTGGATTCCTGACAAAACTTCTTTTTGTCTAGGATTAGGCTTAACAACATTCATTTAGGTCCAGGCAGTGACCCTAACTGAGGCAATACACCAGCGGTCTTAAAATCCAGAACTTGAATCCAGTTTCCAGTTCTGGATTCTGTAACAACTGGTGGCTAATTGAACTGGTGATGTTATTGACCACCTAAGGCTGGTTTCCCAGATGTAGATCAAGCCTAGTCTTGGACTAACAATTTCCATTGGTAATTCACCACTGATCCTGCAATTTAGCCCAATATCAGGCTTAATCCATGTCTACCAGTGATACCATAACTACCAGTGATGACAAAATCCAGGGCCGGAAACTTGAATTCGGGTCAATTTACAAGGATTAAGCATAGTTCTGCGCTACACAGCATTCTGAATGGAGGTTCTCTATTGAAATGGAAATGTAGCCCATGACTGGGCTCAATCCCTGTCCAGGAAAATGACCTTTAATGACTGTATTTGAAGACCTCTGCAACGCACAGAGGCACTAGCAATGATATATCAAGATAGCAACGCATCTGGATTATGTGAAGGCACTCAAATGGTGTACAGTGAAGAATAATCAATAAATCACACCATTTGTCATATACTGACAGAGTGGTCTATGCAACCATGCCATGAAGCTAAGAGAGGAGCAGCGGGTTAATCTGTAGTTATGTGCAGAAATTAATCGTGAAAGCTAAGGCAGGGGTTAAGCTTCAGCCTGGTCTAC